AAGCGAAGCCATATTCAATGCACTGTCGTCTTGCGATCTCGATAGATGTAAACAAACCCTACAGTAATACCCACTATAAGTCACGTGATCCCAGCCACTGATTCGGTCTATTGAAGGCACGATCTTGAAGTGAGTATGATGTTACTGTTAAAGATTATATTTCATTTTCGTCAAAAATATATGAAAATAATTCTTATATTCTCAATTCAACATGTTTCCATAAATTATTAAAAATAAAGTACTTAACTACTAATGACCTGAAATGACCCTTGTAAATTACCTGCTAGCTACCATGAATCCTTTATGGTTAAAAAAAATCAGTGCATAAATAGCACTGCCTAAATCCAGCAAGAACCTTATAAGCCTGTCAAAGTATGCAGAGGTTGTTTGAATATTTTTACCCCTACCTTTATAACAGCTAATGTACTGTATACAATACTACCATTTCCCAAGAATGGTTTATTGGAATTAAAATCACTTAGGAGTCACCTTCTAAAAAATACCATTTATTAGTAATGCATTCTTACAGTAAAATTTCTGTTGCAAATGTGTTAAATATTATAATTACGCTTTGTTTCAAAGCCTGACAATGAAAAACTGAGGTCCTGGGCTCACGCTAAGCGATTGCTAAGTCGTCATGGGCAAAAATTATTTTGGATTGGCAAAAAAATAACCATCTGCTTTAGCCATTTCGGCGAAGGCTTGACATCACTCAGAAGTTTCAAATACTTGCTAAAGTACATCGTTTTTGTTTTTTTTCAAGCTCCATTTTTCGAAAACTCCATAGCCATGCGACATTTATTTGTGGAGTTGTTCTATCTGCTATTTCAACAAAGGTACTGTAGCCTTCACAATGTCAGTTACGTTTTGTGCTCCAAATTATTTATCATGATCTGAGCCATTCCATCCAGTACTTAATACTGATCCAGGGAACTTGTTTGTATTTTTTTAAAATTAGCCTAGCTAGAGAATATTTACAGTAGAACCTCGTATATTGTATATCAGTTAGAGGAATCCTCAGTTTTACGTACGCCTTGTACGGACGATGACATCATCAAAAACCCCAAAACACTCAAAACAAACAGCCCTTTTCAGGGCCACCATAATGTAAAAAGAGATTTGTTAGTTTCTGGCTGTTTACTATTTCAATATTATAACAATAAACAAACCACAGTACACTAATAAACAAACCTTATTGCAAAGTATTGCATTCAACAGCAGCATTGTGTCTAATTAACGCGCTGTTATTTTATAATTTAAAACCATGTGGAATGAGTGAAATGAACAAACTACCGTCGGTGCTCAAAATAATTTCTTTCCTATTTCGTGTGAAAAACTTGTCTGAGCGAATTTTCTACACAAAGCTTACTATGCTCGGTACGTATAATTTCGCATACGAACGCTAATTGTTTGGCTTTCCCAGTGCAGTGCACATGCTTTTAGTTTGTCTCAGCAGGCCCAGACAACACTGCAGCTCTGTTGTTCATAATAGCTATGATGGGGAATTCCCAAGTTATACCAAGGCAATTCAACAAAAGGACGCACATCTCGGAACATCAAAGGATATAACTCTGGCATCGACATTCTACGCGCCGCGTGCCCCTACACGCTGATTGTCTCAAAAACCATAGCAACCAAACCATAATTAACCATTAGCGTCTGACGAATTACCAATGCGCGTGTTAGATGCCATGATAATCGTGCATCATGTGGTGATTACAAAGGCCTAATGATATTTTGCACTAACATTAGACTGAAATTTTATTGTTATTTCAACATTAATTTTACCGATGTCGTGGTGTATTGTTGTTCATGAGACTCATTACGCAGAAAAAATAAGTAAATTTTCTGTATCTACTCAAATGTTCGTTTTGTGCACCCAAGTCCAACACTGTCAAAATGACAGTTTAACGTTATACAGTATACCGTAAGAACATGAAATTTTATAAAAATCGTAAATTTCGTTAGTCAATGGCAAGGTAGCGATTTCTATAGTTGCATTGCAAAGCAAACATATTGGAATACAGAATGCGGTTCCTATTTTTAATTTTTATGTAGAAATCGTAATAATTTGTACACGAAATTTATTGATTTTTCATTAATATTGTTGGAAAGAAGTACATGCCTACTACCAGAACAATACCACATGTATTTAATTAATGTCTGCTCCTAGGCTCCTCATTGATGCAGATCAACATAACAATTTGAACATAGCTTACCCTAGGCCTAGCTAAACACGGTTTCAAAACAAAATCAATCTAAAAGGTAGGAAATAACGAACAATAAAATTGTAACATTGTTTATTAGTAAATTGCAAGATTGCTCACGTTTTGAAAGCTGGTAAATAAGCTATATTTTAATATTGTTTATCAATCCGACAATCCGGTCTACGATCATCGCACAGCTAATTAAAATAACAATGACCTTTGTAGCTATGTTCAAAATGGTTCCTACACGTAGGTTACGCGTACTGTAGAAACGGACAGCATTCGTAATTTACATCTGCACTGTAATGCAAGTAAATTAAGTACTTATTTTTTTTAAATCATTTAGAATAATGTATAAAATCAGACACTTTTTTATTATTATTGTCAAAATGTTTATCCACCTGACTTGATCAAGACAAAATTCTTAATGGCCTATGGTAAAACCATCGTTAAAGGATAATTAGTTAAACTACTAAACATGATTAATTCAAATACTGTCGTCACATAACCCTCCAGCACAGTTCAATGTAATTGGTTTTTGACAAATTCAAGATATGTTTTAATTGCCAAGCTAACCTAATTAAAAATGAACATGCAGTTTTAACAATGAACTCAACATGAGCTGAAAATTAAAACATTACCAGCAAAAAGATACGCAATGGTTTTAGGTTAATCATTCTACACACTGAATTGATGGTATAAAATTAGGCACAAAGACACATTTCTGTTGACAAGTGAATTCATTTCCCGACATTAGGGAAAGAATCTGCATAGATCCTGGGCTACTGCAGCAGCTTTCACTGTGGGATACTACATTTCAAAAGAACGAATCAATTATCTGACAACTGACAACAGTCAAGAGCATGAAAGACAATAATATTCACTTATTAAATGCAATCATCTTTTTTACAAAATAATAAATACAATAAAAAAGTTTCTTTATTTTGTAGGTTAAATATTTTGTAATATGTAAAATACTGTATGCGAGTTTATGAATGAGTAACAAGCTTATTAAGAGATGCCAAGACTTGATGATACCAAACCATGAACAGATTAAACCTCTAACAACCAGCCCTCTACCAGTTTTATTAACTTCGAGCAAACATCATAAAATTTGACATTCAAGTCTGTAAATTCTTACAAATACAATTGTAGACTGATGTTTTTACCAGTTACTGTCTGAGAAAGTGTACATAGCGGACAGTAATTATGGTTTTACAAGAGCTAAATTGGAAAACTGCTTTGACATTAAAATTTCCATGATAACTCTACTTCTTATCATTTACTGCAAGTGGACAAAAGAAATTTTAGCAATCCATTTCTTCATTCATACCATTTATAAGGTCTGATATTGTTAATTAGTGTGATCAAACCTAGATTAAAAGTTTGTTAACTAACATTAACAAATGCTTTGCACTATAACAGTAAAAAAATATGCTTTGCACTAAAACAGTAAAAAAATAAGAACTCCCTATCATCAATAACTAAAATATCTAAAGACATTCAATGAAACTGAAAAGACATTCCTTACCCTACCTACTGTAGTAGACTGACAGCTGGATAAAAGATCTTGATTAAAAAATAATATTATCATCATATTTATCTCCATTATGGAATATATTTTCAAAAGCACAACTTAAGCATATTCACAAGTCTGCTGGTTGACTGACATTTCGCACAAGCTCTTAAAATTTTTTTGAATGCACCGAGACACCAGGATATTGCTAAACATCACACAATGCGATAACATTAGAATAATGTACGATACTAACAAGTCAGTTATATAAAAAATGAATTTCTATGAATAATAATATGACATTCCTACTCCAAATATGTAATAAATAGGTTTTTGATCTCTAAAATAGAACACTAATGGGAAAAATAGATGAGTGGATGTAACAAAAGTAAATTGTAAAATGACATCATAAATATTGAAAGTGACATAAAACCGTCTGATTGTCATCCATTTAAAGTACAGGTAATGTAATCTTGCTCCATTAATATCTTATTCCTTTCACATAACTTGAGTATGAATGAAAGTCATTGTCTATTTATAGATTGAAGGTCAGTACCCATGTTGACATTATTATGACATGTGACCATCAAGTCTAATGAATGAATCCACAATGGCGACTGTTAGCCAATCAAATCAATGCACTGTAACTGAATGCCCAGCTGTTGGATAAGAAGTTTAACTTACCACCAAATTTAAAAACTCATTACACCATTAATTTTTCAATTTTAATATTTAAATTATAAATACATACCAGAATTTCTAAAAAATCATATTGATTAATGAGACATCAATATATTATCAATAAACATATGTACAGTACATAAACAACTAATGATGATACATACAAATTAAGTTAAAACAAAAACTTGAAAAACTAATTTTTTATTAAAATATTAATTTTACGGCTGTATATGATTAGCAAACAGATACAACTTAGCAAAATGTAATAAATAAAAGGAACTGTTGTACAGGTACAGAATTTGCGATGAAAAAACATGCATTACAAACAATTTTCAATAAGACTTGTAAAAATTTTGAAAAGTTTGTAACGGTATGTTTCAGATTTTCAGTTTGTTTCATATTTTTTCTTTGATGTTGTTCCATTGTTTAATAATACTATATTGCAATCCCAGTCAAATAAAATATTAAAATTTTTACAAAGCATGTTCATAATTTCATTTAACAAAAAACCAATATTTACTATATAACAGTATGTAGTATATATTATTCATTAAATTCAAACAAAATACTGGTGTAAAAAACATAGGCCGGCCTACCTGATTTCGACCCATTGATTGTCCATATCCAGGCGGGCCTAACTGTCCTGTATTTAGTGGCATTCTTTGTCCCCACTGTTGGTGTGGATATGTCTGGTTGCCTAGCATGCCCATTACATGATTGTCAGCTCCTTTATTCACATTTTGACTTGAGTAAGCAGAATAATTTGGGCTAGGTTTTTGTCCCTGTAAAAGCTGTGAAAGTGTAGGAGCAGAACTTGAAATTCTCTGTTGTTGCGGTGCATAATTGTTCATTGGATTTGATGCACTGTTTCGCGAAACTGAAGTCTGAAAGCCTCGGTTCTGCAAGTGTCCATCGTACTGGTTAAATTGATTTGGAGGCTGGGAACCACCTCCCATATTCGGATGCATATTTCCGGGAACCATGTGTTGATTTGGAGGTGTAGCTGGGGGTATTCCACCACCATATCCACCACTTCCCATCACTGTCCTTTGTTGTGCCTCATTGCCATAAAATCCAGTACCATTATATCCTGCCAAATTAGACATACCACCTATGTGACCACCACTGTTACTCATATATGGATTATTTGGGTTACCTCCAGCTGGATGAGTCCCTGGTCTATGATATGGGTTCATTCTATTGTCTCCCATCATCATTCCAGACAGTTGTTGATGTGGTGGTACACCCCCACCGTATCCATCGCGAGATGCACCAGTCATTTTCAATGATATGTCCCCAGATTGATTTCTCATGGAAGGATTAGCTAAATTATTTCCAGACGTAGGCGTAGTTCTACCTAGAAGACTACCAGGTCCTCCAGGTCCTGCAGGATTTGGTCCTGAACCAACGTGCATAGGCCTGTTCACGTTAGGCCTATCCATATTTTCGTCGAGGTGGTTGCCTGGTTGGTTCGAGTTTTCTCGACCAGCAGAGTTGGCATTTCCAGCCAATTCTGTAGCCATTATTCGATGAAAACAGTTGATTGTAGGGCCTTGCGTCGGCTCTAGCCGCCCGGTGAATGTCCCACACAAATCATAGATAGTCCAAGATGTGCTCCTTGTGATTAGCACACGTGTTTTTCACCTTAGCGCAATGTAAAATATAACAGAAAGTTATGCTGCCATCGGGAAGTCCGAATCACACGATGGGCTTATTATGGCGCACATAGGAGAGAGAAACACACATTTACACTGCATTTATGACAAAAATCAATGCGCCATAGGCCACATTTGTTCCTCTGTAACATTCTTACATAGCCAGAATTGCTGCCTAAATATTTTGTCTTCAAGTTTTTAAACTTATATATGACACTTGAGTAATTACAAGACTCATAGGATTTGTCTATCTACTCATTTATTTGGAACTAATTTCGGCTGCCTCGATAGGAGACAAAATTCCAAGGTAGTTGATAGTCTATGGCATTCTTTTCATCGTGCATTCGATTGGCTGTTCCGACTTCCTCCCACTGCAGAGTTTTTTGTCCGAAAAACAAGCTAGTTTTCATATTTTAGTGTATATGTTGACATTCAAACGTTGCGTATGCCTTATAGTGTATGTTCCGATTGTCCTTTTACATATTTTAATGGATAATTTAATTCTTTGTTGGAGAAAAATAAGTATAAAATATGTGCATGTGGGGGTCAGAGTGCTTGCCTGAAGCTATCAGATTACCAGAGTGTAATTGAGTGGTGACGTCACTAGGCCGTATTTCAGCCTGTTCCTTTGTTTGCTGTCTCTCCGCTGTTTTCCAATCGAATGAAAATCCTATTTCTATTTTCCCGGGCAAATTTTGTTTCTGATGAGAAATGTTTGTCGGCACAGGGCGGAAGGTGTCGTGTCTCGTATCAAGTGCTGTCATACAGTTCATGATTACATTTTGGCGATATAATACTAATAGTATTGAAACACAGAAAAATCCAGACGTTGAATAAAAAATAATACTGTATTGATATAGCCACGGCGGACTTTCAGAATCATTGCCACGATAGTTTGTGGATTTAATAATTCACATTCAATTCTCAACAGCCAAAAGTACCATTTTCTGTTTAATTATTTTACCAATGATTTATTTAATTATCGGCGAACTGGGTGCTCTCGTTCCTCCTATTTTTTTAGGGTATCGACATTGAGTGATGAGATTACTGAAAAGGAGTGTTGACAAATGATGGATGTAAGCCCATATGAATCTGTAGTGTTCAGTCATTTCATTTATTTATTTGACCATCAATACAGAGAAGATATAAAAAAAATAATTATAATTCAGGTCCGCTGTGTAAGTCAGAACATAAATAATCTGATGTAAGTGTCCATGATCTTTGGTGAACTCTGACGCGCAGCCTTGAACAAGATTGGAAACGGAAGTACGCGTAGAGCACACGTGGACGCGGCAACACGCGCGTGTGTATAATTTCCCTTCCTCTTTCACTCCTTTGATGTTGCGACCTGATTGCGCCTAGTTAAAATTATGGCGCTTGTTGGTCTAAAAACTATTCCTTTCGTGTGTAGGCCTATGTGTTGTCGGAAATTATTTTAAAAGTATTTCACTGGGTAATAGGCCTGCATTTTATCAGAGCTTAATAAATGCTCAAATTATTATTATTATATTATTCATGAATTATTGTGTAATCGTTTTAATTCAAAACCCCCACCTTTTCCAGTATCGTCAAACAAGTTTTAGATGGGTCAAGCTCTGTCTCAGGGGTGGCGCCAAGAATTTCCCGACAGGGGTGGGGTGGGGGGCGATATCCCGGACGGGGGTCCGATGTTCCTGTTCTGTATGATCGGCTCGCTCACAATTCATATTCCCATTCATCTTACTAGTGGGCCCCCCACTTTGAAAAACGTTTCGCCGGCCCTGACTAATAGGCCTATACATTTTGTGGTTTTGTGGGCCGACGATTTGTGGTTTTTCTCACCGACTTGGGGGGAGGGGGAAGGAGAGCTCCTCCCGACCGGGAATGATAGTAATAATAATAATAATAATAATAATAATAATAATAATAATAATAATAATAATAATAATAATAATAGAGTAATAATAAATACACTTTGCCCATCTTGAAATTAAAATATTTTTTACATTTCGCGCGAAAATACATTTCCATTAAAAAAAATAGTCAGCAGTACATCATAGCATGGAGGTATAAATATACATCCATGATCGTAACAACAAACAGAATGATGTTGAAGACTTCATAGAAAAAATATGATAACAGTCTAGGCCTATCGCACAAAGACCTACAGACTGGGCATCATGATGTTACTACCCCTCCCAGGCTATCGCTGCACCTCATATTACGTCCCCCCCCCCCCGTTGCTCTACTTTATTCTGATATATCAGTATCCCACTTGTTTCGAAAATCCTGGATCTGCCTCTGAGCAACTCTGCCTCACCCTCTCTCATCTAAAAGTCTAAATATTATAATTTATAGGTCCAACTTCGCGAACAATTACGCCTTTTTTTTTTTATATCGTGAAGGGTATCTCCACATTATACAATTATTTATCAGTCCCGTAACCACATAGCAAGAGGTATTAAATAGAGATTGGAGCGTCTCTAAGGAAATAGGCCTATTGCAATTCGTCTGAACTCAATTTAAATGGATCAAAAACAGACGTAAATCGAGTTAAGTTCACTAGAGGCATCTCAGATAACTACGGTACTGTAAATACAAATGTAGTATTTTTGTAAGTTAAGTATAACGCCACCTCGCGGTTTCTCAAATAGAATGCAATGATGTCACAAAATGTTTCGCTGATGTGACTTTGCATCAAAAAATCACTAAATCGATTGCCATCCTGATCAGTTAATTTAGATTCAAAATCGTCTATACAACAGATCTTGCGCTATTAGGCCTAATAATGTTTGTTGATTATAGAGGAAAATAATTTGTTAATAAATTTCAAGCAAAAGCTACCGTAACAGCTCTACAAAATGCTAATTCAAATTTATTTTTTTAAATTTAAAGATCAACTTAATTTTTATAAATGTAGGCCTAAAAGAGAAACTAAAATTTGGGCTTACATGCAAAAATTAAATGATATATACAACAGAAGACCCGGGTTCGAATCCACTGCATGCGGCGGGACTCGCACCTCAAATCTCTCGCTATATGCACAAGGGCCCAGATCTGTTTTGGAAGGTGGTGGAAAGGGGGGGGGGGGCATTTCGTGAGTCCATAGCCACCATGGTTGGGGCTGGGGGAAAATTTGAGGACAGTGCCGATGGCCGGAAATGACATTATATACTAAAATTCATCATCATCACATCACCATTATATAGTCAAACTGAAGAGCCAACTCATGATCTTATTTCCAGCAACCAATAGAGAATCTAATTAAATGTGTGATGCACAATAGAAAATAAAACTTGAAAACATTGTGTTTGATGTATTTACTTTACTTATTTCAAAACCGTGAGTCCACAACAATCTCAGCCCCATCATGGTTGGGGCTGAAGTGGGAAATTTAGTAAAAATAGTACCTCAGTGGCCGGAAATACACTTTTATAGTAAAGTTCATCATCATCACAGGAGATATAATGAGTAATGTACCATAGAAAATAAAACTAAAAAAACAATCTTTGATGTATATAATTTACTTGACCTACCTATTCAATTCAATTCAATTAAAATAAACATTTAGTTCTTCACATGATACAATTACAAGTTATAAAATTAAACAATCGGATTTCACTTTAAAAGGACTGTGTGAACGAAAATGTTGGCATAATTGGTTTACACGCTTCCAATTTTAACAATAAAATCGATGGAATGGTTACTGAGATGGTTACGAAATGTACAAAAATTGCGCTTTTACTCAGTATTGGTCCGGAAATACGCACCGCACTTTGAAAATCACAAGTGAAGAAACAAAATTCATGACAGTCATTCGTAATTGTTGTTGTTCTTTCCACTCGCTTTAAAAAGTGGGGTTTTAACAATAAAAGTGGTGGGGAATTTGATATGATATCACCTCTACTTTGAAAAAGTGGGGGAGGGGGAGTGTGCCCCTGTCCCCCACCGATCGACGCCCATGAGTTGGATGATATAAAGTACGTCCTCCTTTAATGATTTATTATGTGATCAGTACAACCACATAACACATCCACGTGTGAGTGACCGTTACGTGGGCATCGTGTACGGTGACGAGGTGACAACTGTGTTGTTTACGAAGAATAATTAATACTGAAATTAGCTGCAGTTTAATATTCGAATTATTTTCAGATTAATATTCTATGACTGCAGGCTGATATATGGTGTGTCAAAGTTATTAATTATTATTATTTTCAGTATTAACCATAGTGAATGTTCTCATTTACTTATCTAATATAAGTAGTTCTATACACATTGGCAGTTTATTCCTCGTATGCTTGAATTCATCTGGAGTCAAGACTTTCAGTGAAATAAAGAATGATTGATTGATTTCAGATGTTCGTGAATAAATAAATAAATGTAGTGAATACTCTATAATATTATGTGCATCAGTGGTGCAATTTTTAGTTATTTAACTTGTTAACCAGTGATCAGATTGGACGTATGATGATGAAATGTATTGTGTCTTTTCATGCGTTTCGTATGTCTTTCCGTGCTTTTTCTATTCATTTCCCCCAATTTTAATGTTTCTCTTTTTTCTTTGTGTCTTCCTTCGTATTTCGTTTTATTATATTTCAGTATTATTATTAACTTACAGTAGTATCTGATCATTTTAATCAAAATTGTACTTCGCGTGTACGAATTGTATTGTTTTTATTGCCAATGTTAGGCCTAGATCTTTTTACTGTATTGAATTTTTAATTGTAAATTTGATGCAATTCAGTTTTTTGCTGCCAAACAAATACTGAATAATTTTTTTTAAATGAAATGAAACACCTCCTCCACCACCTCCTTTGAACAGCAATAAAAAAATTGTAACCAACCGCGAAATTGTTTCGATAAGAGACTAATTGCAAAAATTAGTAAACGCCGCGGTTTCTGAGGGAGATCTTTGATATGCCCTGGCCCATCTCTAGAGGGCGCTATAGTCATTTATCAGTAAAAGTGCAAGTCAAGTATGTAGTTAATTTAGTTTACTGGGTTCCAGACTTTTGTCATGGTCACTTTGTTGCTTTTTGGGGCCCCAGGCACTTGTCTGAATGAATAAATGAAATGAAAGACCAAATCGGGGACATCACCAGCCCCCGACCCACTGGGACGTCACAAAAATTGAGCCAGGGGACTCGTGCCTCATAGTTACGCCACTGATTTTTCTCCTTTCTATTCATGTAATTCAAACTACATCATTCTGTCTATTTTCTTTATTTACACAGTAATATGTTTCAACTCACGACATTAAAAAAAGAAAAACAACCATTGGACATTTCTTTCAAATTTACTAATGTATTTGGTTCATATACGTGAACCAATTTTTATTCAAATAACCATAGTAAAGCCTATGAAAAATATTCTTATAAGTATAATCAACAAACTTGCTAAAAAAAATTTGAAATTACTAATTTCAGACATTTTATTCAGAGATGGCCAAATATTACAAATTTGTGGTATTTAAGAGGTACATTTTGAAAAGATAGGAGGGAGAGTTTTTAACAGTAATAAAATAACTACCTGTATGCCAATTTAGATTCATATACTTATACTGAGAAGGCTTAATGCAGGAGTCACAAATCAAACGCAAGTCACAGGAATCTCCCGGAAATCGAAAGGGCTCCCGCAAGCAAACAAGAACTTCCCGGAAAATAACGCATTTCAGTAAATTTAGGATGTTTTCATGTTTTACTATAATGCATTATCAATTTCAGTGGCGCTGTGTATTACCATGTATAGCAGAATGAAATTAGATGTGGTGAGAAAAATTTATTTAAACAGCCCTCCCGGAAGTGGCTTCTTCCAACTTGGGACCCAAAAACTGTTAGGGGTTATTTTGATCATCTCTGTGCACACTTTGTTATTTTCTATGGTTAAAAAAGTCAGTATCAACATATTTAATTGACCAAACATTATCATAAATTGAATGGAAGATTTATATAATTTTATTGAATTAAAATTATTCTGAATCAAAATTATACTGATTTTTGTATTGAATTAATATTATTCTGATTTTTGTAGATTATTTTGAATTGTGACACTGGCAAAAAAGGTAAGCATATCTTTTGTTATTGCACTACAGTAGTTATTAATCTCAGTGAATTTCTCACAGGTAACACAGCTCTGAACACTCTGATGATTTGTGGATGTGGCGTCATTCAGATATACATTCATTATGGTAACATTTACATAGATTGGAGGCTTTCCACCTTGATAATACAGAACATCTATGCACCATATACACAGAGTTGGGCAAGTTGCCCCATGAAAACCACTCTTGTTATTGGTTACCTACATAAATCGATGACATCTTTCTTCAGCTGAAAACAGTAAACAATCTTTTCATCATGATGGTAGTTAAAATATTCAAGTTAGCTTTCCTTCCATGATTGATTGTTTTTTAAAGAAATGTTCTTGTTTGTTGCAGATTTTATTTTCCAAATCTTTGATCACATTTTGAGAAGGCTTGCATGATGCCATATACGTCACTGTAATCAACACCAATATGCGAGTTAATCCAACTGAAAATATAAAGAAAAAAAAAAACCAAATTTGATTCATAATACTACATTCATACATAGAGTATTAATTGATTAATAATAATAATAATAAATAATAATAATAATAATCAAATAACAATAACAATAATAATAATAATGATGATAATAATAATAATAATAATAATAATAATAATAATAATAATAATAATGTATTTTATTCATATTACATATCTATTTAAAATAAAATTGTTATCAATTATATCTACCTAGCAGTATTATCAAAACTATAAATTTTCAGTTATTTATACATTTGGAGTTAAGATGCTTGCTTTCCAATCACAAAAATCCCTGGATTAAAAAAAACAAACTGACTCCCTGCCAAATTTGAGTTAATAGAGCAACTTGCTGAATGTGAAGAAATTTAACAAGTACTTTTTAAGTACAGTGAAACAATGGAAGAATTTAAGGGGGGGGGACACCCCTATTAAAGGGACACTTCTTTTGGTCTTAAATGTATCTGCTTATTAATAGGGGTTCTCTGCTTTATGAAACTTAGACTGTGTAAATGACTTGTCCTTACTGTATTTCTGTGAGCCTGGTCTGCCACGGCAAGTAACCAAGTAATGAGTGGACAGAGCCACATCTTATTACTAGATCTGGGTCTGGACACTGGCTTCTTGCTGTTCAATAACATAATAATAATATGGTATAATTTATGTAGGTTAATAAGGCTAGTAAATTATCTGATAAATACATCTCTCTGAAAGACCTATGCTGCCAAATAATTTATAAGAAAACCATCGCAATATTAGAAAATAGAAACCACCAACATTTTAATTAATTTAAATGGCTATACTCAAGAAAGAGATTACGCTCTGCTAATTGTTGCACCTCCAGATTTTTCAACTCATTCATACCTTTTGCATAAGATACTACAACTCAAATGTCTAAATTAATGTTTATCACTTGTCTCTTTTAACTGTAAGTATTGATTGTATATACATGACTTTTTTTCCCCATATTTATATAGGTGACTTTTGCTTTTCTTGTTATATTTTCGATGTTTGTATATATTTTTGTATCTGTATGTATTAAAATGGTTACCCTAAACAGAATTTCTGTATTTTTGACAATAAAATAATCTTAAATCTTTTAATTGACTGTAAGATTCCTGTAATATGCACACATTAATTTATAAACTTTCAAACTATTTAACTGTACATAAATTTATAATATTTGTTGTATTGTATGAGAGCCTCTTGAATTAGCTGGCTGGCTACAATATTAAATTAGTTGTTTGATTAATGTATTAAAATACATTACCATGTATTTTAAGACATATAAAATGTTAATGGAGGTTAGTGTCAACAATTTAGAATAGTCAGGGAGGTGAAGTCAAGGAATGAATGTTAAGCTGAGAATTCTTTATACATTGTTTAGGAAACTATGTTTTTGGAAGATCTTCATAGGAGGGTAGGAAAAAGGTAAGAGTCACACTGAGGTCAAACCTTCAGCCATTGCTCAGATTGCCGTATAAATATGCGATGATTATGCGTCAACATTTCAAACTTGTTTTTTTATTCAGATTCAGTGGGCTACGGGTTTTGCAAAGCAAGCTATAAAAAGTCTTTTCTGCCTTAAACTATGGATTTTTTAGCCTATGGTATATCAGCCAAGTACACACCTTGCATTAGGGTCTCCAGATGTGATAAATTAACATCCTCTATACTTTGTGTTTTATCTTGAATTGCTCGACACACCTGTTGTGAAACCTTCACCACACCTTGCCGCCCATCGCAGGGTGATAACAGCTTAATACTAATTTTTCCAGTGTCTGAAACTAAAACATAAAAAATGAATAATTACAACCTGAAATATCATACAAATACAGTATATTGGAAGATTACAGGAAGAACCTGTCTACACCTCGAGCGCTTTGAGACTGTTTCTGTATAAAGCACTATAAAAATCTAACTACATTACATTAAATACTGGGTCTACTATAAACATTCAACAAATCAACAAACAATAAGATGAGAATTATATGGGGTCTCAAATGTCAAATACTATTTGTATAAGAGAGTTATACTGAACCATAAGAAGTATTAAAAATAATATGCTGAGTGTGATACCATGAACAATGGTCTACCCAGTATTTCTGTAGAAGTAGAAACCAAATTAAAAAAAACAGGGATGATATTTATTGCGGTAGAAGCAAAAAAACACTATCAATACAGTATTTATTAGATTTGTCTCCTGAGAAATGTTATGTTCATGTGAATGACGATGGATTTGCACCATAGTTAATTTTTTGGTTTGAAATTGGGTCCTTTCCCTGAGGGCTATTTTCAAAGTATACCTTTTTTTGGCCCTGTCACTTGATGTACCCCTCGTAAGTTAAGTTTAGTATTTAAGTTGCAAGTGAATAAATAAATAAAACCTGAATTAGGTCTACTTACCACCATTATTTTTCCCATCTATGTAGCTTTTCCCAACTTCAAATGAAAACTGACACCTGTCTTCTTGAAAAAAATGTTCTTGTTTTTTAAAAATTTCTGCAGCAATAACTTGGTCATTTCTTTTAAATTTTCCTGTATAATGAACACACAATCAATGCAATTTTACAATCTATTCATTGAAAAACATTTTTATATCATATTGCCAGGGAGGTATAAAAATAAATAAGATACCTCTTTGATATTGGAGTTATACTTACAAATATCAATTCAGTGATGTTCTACTAATAGAGGGCCTAAAACAATGTATGCCTCGTGAGAGAGTGTAAGTGTAAAAGGAATTCGATCCAACTCGGTCACGGTCAACTCGGCCACAAGTCAACTCGGCCACAAAAAGTTCAGCTGCAGTCAACTCGGCCACAAGTCAACTCGGCCACAAGTCAACTCGGCCACAATAATATTGCTGTTATTATTGGTGTCATTGTTATTATTATTGTTGTTTTTATTACCGTTAGTTTTAATATTAATTAAATAATAGTTATTAATAACATTATGTATTGTTTAAATTTTTGCTGATATTATTATTGTTACCATATAAATAATACAAAATTCTCGATTTTTTAAATTCATATTATTATTATATATTAGTCTTAGTATTATTATTTTAATAAT